CCCCAAAACCCCAAAACCCCAAAACCCCAAAACCCCTTTGGCGGATATATGAATTGAAATAGCCCAAACTGGAACATCTTGGGTCAATCTAAACAGAAAGAGTATTTAACCTCATCGATCATCCTGAGGTATTCGATATTTCTAAAAGGTTTCATACATACTTACTAAGACTATCGAGATCAGGCTTTGGAGCCTTCTAAATTATCTTAATCACAAGCAAGGGAGGTGTAAGCTTACCTCAGGATTAGTCATCAATCTTCGTAAGCCATAATTCCTAGAATAAGAACCCTGAACTGAGCTATAGCTGAGATCCCCCTTTGAGTTATTGTGGGGATGAGAACCTGAGAAGGGATAATTCTTTGAAAACTTCTTAGCATTTTCTTTGGAGTTCTTTCCACAGAGCTGACTTTTTAGGCCAAGGTTGAACCACTGGCGGATCTTTGGAGCTTTAGAATTCCCATTTTCCTATAAGGTTGATATACAACAAATACCTTCTTGAAGTTCTTGGTGTTTGGTAAGCGTATCATCCTGAGCCTCGATTGCTACTAACTGTTAATACCGACAATATCGGAGAATAAGTTTAATGACTGTGAAAAATCTGATGATATGACTAAACCTTACTTTTCCACTGGAAGGACAATTTTGCTTGGGTTTCATATTCACAGGTGATACTTTGATTTTCTAAATAAGGCTTATTCCCATGCCTAGAAAAGAACAGGATTGTTAGATACAATCCTTGGACATGATGAAATAGGATAGAGGTTACCTTTTTCCTAGCTCGAGAGCTCTTATCATCGATAAGCATATTCCTAAAAAGTTACATATGCATTTACTTCTTTGCTTTAACTTTCTTAAATCAGCTTCTTCAACTCTAAATTTCTGAAGGGATGAGACATTTGTAAAGTGCTGCTCTCCTTCAACAAAGTAGGCTATATGTAATAAGAAGCTCCAATACAGTCTTGTTTACCCTTGGTTGGACGCTTTCTACTGAGGAGAATCTAGGGCTCAAATTAACACTCTACCTCTTGCTAATGTTATGCATAAATTCATGTGGAAGTGAAGAATCCTTGAATTTATTTTTCGATCCTAAAATAGTCATAAACCTTACGGTTTCAGCTCATAGATTTCCGTTGTTTAGTCCCGGTCTTGGAAAATTTCTTCATAACATTTTTGGTAACCCGAGGTTTGTTAAAATTTTCCAAATTTATGTCTAAAAATTTCAACTAATATTTTACTAATTTTGAGTTGCTTGTAGTCATTCTTATCCTTATTTGGCCTAAAATATCGATTATTATCAAATATAAAATACTAAGATAGAGACCTAACATAGCTCGTTTAGAGACAAGTTATTTGTAATATGACTTTCATGTGTACTTACTTAACTGCATCTTTGGACTTGAGCCCTAAATTCTTCCAGAATTTAGGGCTCCCAGCAGGGTACTTGGGCAACACAGGTAGGAGCACAGTTGGAGTCATCTTAGGGATCACCTTAAGCCTATCAAACGTAAATGGTTCTCTCAAATTATACAAAAATATATTTTTGTTTGGGACTAGTGTTGAGCCTAAGAATTAGAACATCGCCTTACTGTTCAGATTAGACATTTAGAGGACTGATGATAAATGATGGCTGATTTATTATTTTATTTCAAATTCATTGCTGAAGATAGGGGTTTTGGGGTTTTGGGGTTTTGGGGTTTTGGGG